TTTTAAGATGGGTGGACTTCAACTCCCAGAATTCCCCAGGCAGGAAGGAGGGTGCTGCCAAAAAAAGAAGAAGCCATGCCCACCCAGTCACATGACCATGCCCATCTAGCCATACCCACAAAATCAGTTGTTACAAAATTTGAATCCCACCCCTAGTGGACTTCAACTCCCAGAATGCCCCGGCCAGCCACACTTTATGAAGCAAGACATAAAACTACAGGCAATCTAACCATTCAAAGTAAGAACGGCACCGAAAGAAGTGACTTACAACCATTTTTCACACTTATGACCGTTCTAGCATCCCCGTGGTCATGTGATCAAAATCTGGTGCTTGGTAACAGGTTCCTATTTATGACGGTTGTCCCAGGGATCACGTGATCCCTGTTTTGTGACCTTCTGACATGCAAAATCTAGAGGGAAACCAGATTCACTTCACAACTGTGTTACCAACTTAACAACTGCAATAATTCACTTAACAACTGTGGCAAGAAAAGTCATCAAATGGGGCAAAACTGACTTAGCCAGGGTCTTGCTTAGCAACAGAAATTTTGGCCTCAGTTGTGATCGTAAGTCGAGGATTACTTGTTTTTAAAGAGACAAAACTATACACCAATGAGGCTCAATCCACCCCTATATTTTGCAGACATTTATAATAGTTGGGATCACTGATTTTTTTTTAATGCAGGGGTCCCCAAACTTGGTGACTTTAAGACTTGTGGACATAGCTAGCTGGAGAATTCTGGGAGTTGAAGTCCACAAGTCTTAAAGTCGCCAGGTTTGGGGACCTCTGTGTTAATGGTTTGCTTTCATTCTGGTGGGTTAGCAAGATTTGGGCTTTTGTAGCTTTTACATTATACATAACCTACGAGCAGTTACCACTTGCCCATAGTAATGTTAGGTCTCTGGTCTTCCTATGCTGTTGTGGTTTCTGGCAGCTTAGTTTTAATTTTTTTGTTTTGTTTTGTTTTGTTCTAACTAGTTTAACATCTGTTTAACAGAGGCTCCGCCAACATTTTCTGTTTCCGTTTTTAATGTAATTTGTGTCCTGACAGAACAAGCTAGGGTGTCGGCTTCCTGTTATTTTAATAATAAATTTGTCAATTTCCTGTCCAATAATCAGGCATAATTTTATACTGTACTGTTTGGGGGGAGTCATTAGTATCACTATTGCTTAGGATTCTCTTATACAAACTTTCAAAATCTTGCAAAGATTCCCGACTGGGGAATTCTGGGAGCTGTAGTCCACTCAAGCTAGCTGGGGAATTCTGAGAGTTGAAGTCCACATATACTGGCTAGGGAATTCTGGGAAATGAAACATGTCTTAAAGTCCCCAAGATGGAGGAATCTTGCCTTAAACAATTTCTGACAACCTGTTTCAGCCACCTGCCCCATGCCACTTTGGGCTTGTGGTTAAGGTACCAAGCTAGGGACTGAGGGACTGTGAGTTCTAGTCCGCCTTTAAGCATGAAAGCTGCCTGGGGGACTTTAAGCCAATTACCAGGAGACTGGGAGTTCTAGTCCCACTTTAGCCAGGAAAGCCAACTGGCTGACTTTCGGCCAGTCTCTCTCTCACTCCAGCTCCTTTCAACCTGGTTGTTGTGGGGAAAACAGGAGGAAGATGCTGTGCTGGATACGTCACCTTGAACTATTTGTAAAAGTAATAAAGGCAGGCTACACATAAATTAATTAAAATGAAACAATGTTCTGCTTTGGCTAAAGACAATTGTCTTCCTCGTTGTTTGTTGCTAGGACTGTTTTTGTGTCCCTTCATGTTTCTAATCGTTAACAGAGTTGGTGTTCGGCTGGTTCTGACCAGTTCTGGAGAACCGGTAGCGGAAATTTTGAATAGTTCGGAGAGTCAGCAAATCCCACCTCTGACTGGCCCCGCCCCCATCTGTTCTCCGCCTCCCGAGTCCCAGCTGATTGGCTAGGTCTTCTTTTGTTGCCTTGCATAGGAGAACGGAACTGGAAAGCAGGTTAGTGGGGTGGGGAGGGAATGGAGATTTTACGGTAACCTTCACCTGCCACACCCACCAAGCCGTGCCCACCAAGCCAGGCCCACAGGATTGGTAGTAAAAAATGTTGAATCCCACCACTGATCGGTACACTATGCCGAATTGCTGCTGAATCGGGTGGCTGAATGCATCTAAATTATCTGTAAAGGAGTCATATTTTCCAATTTTCTGTGCCTTTTGACCGTGGGATGACGAAATAGAAAATCCCACATCCTTCTCTCTCTCTTCAGCCCAACCCCCACAGGAGATAAAAGGGGTTTTCAGCTCCCTTGATGAAGGAAGCGTTTCCTTCCAAATCTTTTACTCACGTTGACTATAAAAGGAACCACAAGGATCACTAAGACCAATTCCAGCTGAGGAGAAGGGATGTAATCCAGGAGGATTTCCTGAAGCTGAGAGAGAGAGAGAGAGAGAGAGAGAGAGAAAAGAAGAGAGTCAGAGTCCTTTTATGGGATAAAAAAAAATCTGGTTCTGGGCTCAGGCCTGAATAATATCTGGACAAGAGACCACCAGGAAATCACAGAGCTGTACATTAAATTGGGAAATTGGAAAAAAAAATAACAGGGAGGAAAGCAATGACTAAGCTCTTCTATAATGACAGATAGTCCTTGATTTACAACGGTTATTTTAGTAGCGGATCAAAGTTACAAAAGCCCTGAAAAAAATAGCAATAGCACTTAGACTTATACATCGCTTTAGGATTCTTTCACAGCCCTCTCTAAGCAGTTTTACAGAGTCAGCCTCTTGCCCC